GCAGGTGCTGCCTGGTCAAGGCGGCCGTGGTTGTGGCAGGTTTACTGCTGCTGCTGTGTCAGTGGGCTGAGCTGAGAACGTCTGCTGGACTCATTGTACCTGACAAGAACAACCTCCTCTTCTAATCCCACTAGTCCTGTTACACGATATCAGCGGGAACGACATTCCTCTCCTGCAGCAGTTTCCCCCTCTTTCTTCTCCATCTTTTCTGTTTTCATCCACCATGTTGGCTCTTTCTTTGTGCCCAGTTTCTGTCCTTTATTTCCCCGCTTCTCCCATTCTCCCTACTCTTATCTCTGCCTTTTCCCGTCATCTCTCAACATTCTCCCTCTCCCGGCAGCCTCTCGCCCTACTGCCCTCCATCTCGCCCTACAAACATAGCCTTATTTTGTTTGCGGGAAGGGGCTGGGGTTCGTGGGGAGACGGGGGGGCTGAGATTATCGCCATGGTGATCCACATCATAACAGTCTGGTCAGTGAGGGGAGGCTGAGTGTTTCCACAGCATTAACAACAGAAGAAGTGAACTGACCGGGCTAATGGTTCTGTCAAGACTTGGTCAAAGGCCTCTGGGGCTCATGAGGATGACATCACCAAAGCAGCAGGGGCCTGAAAAGCTTAATTTAACCACTGTGAGAAAAACAAATCAAGTACAGTCACTTGAGCTGCTCCATGACACAGAGGTTTCTTTGCCATATGTCCACTCTGAGACAGATTTTCCCCATTTACAGGCATTCTGACCAGCAGTAGGAAACTGTGGCTGGATGTGAGGCCCACATAACTGGAATCAATCCCAGGAAACTCAAGTTTAAAAGACGACCCCCTGCTAATTAAAGCTAGCTCTCTCTTTGTACCACTACACTTAAAAAAAACAACCTATGAATACACCACATTTGATTCTTAAATATAAAACCTTTTCATATTTAAATAATAAAAAAAAACTATGAATACACCACATTTAATTCTTAAATATAAAACCTTTTCATATTACCCTGATGCGACTTTGAAGCGAGGCTAGGCAACTTCATTTTTGGCTTTTTAAACAAAATTCTACACAAACTTTTCCCTGTGCTTCAAGGTGAAGAGCTAAAGAATAGCTAAAAGGTTGCTAAGTATCAGCTCAGATTTGGCTAGGTGTTAGTACGGAATTAGTTTTGGCTAAGAGGTAAATAGATTTTTGCAGAAAACTTGCCCCCCAAAAAGAGAGGGAAATTAGCCAAAAGACAACAGATAAGCATAAACATTAGCCTAAAAATAGCTGTCAACATTAGCATCACAGTTTAAGTAAAAAAAAACACTAACAGTCCTCGCTGAGACGGAGTAAGGATTAGAATTAAAGACAGATTAAAGTTAGGGAAAGGATTAAGATCAGTGGGTTTGAGTTGACAGAACTCAAACCCACTTTGTCGGCTCTACTGGTGCTAGTTTGAAAGATACTACATTTTTATATATGTTATATATGTTTTTTTCAAGACTGGTGGTCCTCAGATGTGCTACAGTCAGGGCTAACAGCCGTCCTAATTTTCAGAGACACACAACAATCAAACATCTGCTTCTCTCCACCCTCACATGTTGGCAGTGACGTAGAACTAAAGATGGAGGATCAAACTGTGGCTTTCTGCTCCATCTGTTTCTGCTGAGAAAAACAGAGTTTCTCAGAGTGGCTAAGTCGGAGACAGGATCTGCAGCAGCCGTAGAGATGGTGGAGGTGGTGGTGGTGGTGGAGATGCTGCTGAGCCAAGATGGAGGAGCAGAGGGGACAGAGCCCACATCTGTTTCTGCTCAGCTCACAGCTCAGTTCTGGGAGGAAAAAAAAAGTCTGAAGAGATGCTTTTACTGAGGAATGGACAGTGCACTGGCCAAGTCAGCCTGCTGCCTTACTGGCACTGGGGCAGTAGCCACACACACACACACACACACACAGAGCTACAGCACCGCCTACGCTCTGCCCTTGATGCCCTCTTGTTAATGTGTGTGTGTGTGTGTGTGTGTGTGTGTGTGGTATTCTGGTCTGGACCATACACCGACGCAGCGGGCCAAGCAACAACTTTGTCGGAATGTTTGTACTCTCCTCCTCTCCTCACTCCATCTTTCCATCCCTGTGATGTAGACGACGTGTTTTTCTTCTTCTTCTTCTTCTTGGAAATCCCTTCCGTCCGTCTCCGTCCTCCGTCCTCCATCATCTGTCCTCTAAATCCTACATTCCTCGGCCGTTGCGCTGTTTGAAGCCTTGCCTCCTGCCAATCCTCTGGACCCTCATGCTCTGATTGTTTTACAGGAAGACGGGTCACGGTGTGTGTGTGTGTGTGTGTGTGTGTGTGTGTTTCTGCATATGTGTGTGTACATCCAGCTGACTCAGCCTGATCTCCACTCTCGTACTGAGACCCTTGTAGACCGCAACAGACGAGTGACGGCACGCTGACACGACCCTGTCCATCACGTGTGTTATTGTTGAAACAGCATGAGTGACACGGAGCTGAGGAGCTGCAGAACCACACACTTTCTTTTCCTGCCCCCGATTATCATCTGTGTGTGTGTGTGTGTGTTTTATAAGAAGCTGGACGCTCTCTGTACCAAACCAGTGACACAGAGCTTCTTTTGTGTGTGCACTTAAAGGAGAACAAGAGTTTATTTCAGCGTACAGCTGTTCTGTCTACACTGGTCGTCCTGTCCTGCAGGTTGAACTAAACCTAAAAGCCACACTTTTTACTTTTTAAACCCGCATAAAGTGTTCTTACAAGAGTTACGCAACATTACAAAGCTTCCTGCTTCTTGTTAACAAAAACTAATCTCGACTTTAACAAACTTAAGAAAATCCAGTTTCCTTGCTAACAACTGCACAGCTGTTAACAAAAATTCAAGTCCAGTTTCCTTGCTAACAACTGCACAGCTAACATACAAGTAGCCTAGCCTCACCAAACAGCCAAACCTACTTTATGTAATGTATTAGCCTGGACATTAAAGGTGGAGAAATGGTGAGTTAGAACTGTCTGTCACCAGTGGAGTCTCATCAAGAAGGAGTTCATGTTGCACTATACTTGTCATAACATCTTGAGCACATTTGTCCAGCAGATTTTCGAGTTGATATATTGACATTCAGACTGATCTTAAGCATCAATAAACTATGATGTAAAGAAACCACTTAAATAACAGACAAAATGTCAAAAAGAATGTCTCTGGCATTTTGCGGCGTATTGAGCTTTAGAAGCTTTGTGCTAATTCTCTAAAAGCAAACACACAGTGTTGTTGGCCAATGGGAGTTAACATGAGCTTCAAGGGTGAACAAACTAAATCCATGTCTACCCTGCTTTTATCACACAAACACACACACACACACACACACACACACACAATGCCGTCTTGTTGGGTTAACGTGATCATATGGTTTTATACCCGCAGTTAAGAACTTCCTTCATGTGGAGGAATGCGAGTTCCGCTCATATCTTACAGATTTGGGACAGAACGATAAACCTACACCTGGCTGGGATTAAATATTCCTCTGATCTGCTGCAGCCTGCTGTGAGAGACCAGAGCAGGCGTTTATAAAGAGGGTTTATGAAGAGAAATGGTCTGACAGCTGCAGTGATGTAGCAGATGAATTTATGTGTCTCTCTGTTATTTTATTCTTTAGATTCTGTCACCACCTCTGCCTCGTCTGTTCTTTTTTAATAACTCAAACATGTCAAAGACAAGTCAGTAAAAGTACCACAACGGAGTGGGTGTGTCTCTCTCTCTCTCTCTGTGTGTGTCTCTGTGTGTGTGTGTGTGCGGTGATAAAACAGATCAACTGCTGCAGAATCATACAGAGAAGGTGCTGTGGTGTCTAAATCTCACAGCTCAAAGGTTTCCTTCATCTCCTGCTGCAGGACTCTACAGGTATGCGCCTCCTCCTCCTCCTCCTCTTCCTCCTCCTCCTCCTCCTCTTCCTTCTGCACCCCCCCCTCACCCCACCCTTCAGACAGCTTCTCCTCCACCCTGTAGCTCAGCCCTCACCAACAAGGCCAGTATTGTAGTGAGGGTAAAACGATAGCGCTCAGGGACGGCTTCTCCTATGTGGTTACCTAGACAACTCCTCTGACCCCCCCCCCGTCCCCCCCCCCGCCCCCACCTTCAGTCCCTCCACACTCTAACCCACTGGATCCCTTCATCTCATGGACCGGGGACAAAGCCAGTCACACAGACACAAAGGGAGCCGGGTCACAGAGGGCAGGAGTTACTCTCTCACACAGAGATATGAGCTGGTTGTGTGTGTGTGTGTGGAGATAGCCGGTGTTTGGGGAACAAAAAGAAGGCCAAAAACCATTTGGGTTTGCTAAGGAGTAAAACAGTCAAAGCAAGAAAAGCATGAAAATGTTTTTGATCTTCAGATTTCACCTGTATGAACTCCATGTGACTGTTGTTTGGCTGCGATGAAACTAAGTGAGAGTCAAATGAAACATAAATGAATGTCCAAATGTTCTGTCTGGTTGAACAGTGTTAGATGCTTCTTTCAAATAAAGACAGCGATGCATTCACTGTCACAGGAAAAAGAACAGCCAGCGATGCCCACGCTGCCCTAAGAAATAGTGGATTAAGGAAACCCATCTGCAGCTTTGACTAAGTTTTGACAAAGATCCAACATTTGTGTCTTTTTTTTTTTTTCGCGTCCCACCTTGTGAGTGTGTCTCTGGTTCACTGTTTCGTGGACTGCTGCGGAGTCGTCTCTCTGGCTTCTTTCCTCCTGGACTGCTGCCCCCTCCTCCTGTCCCCGCGGACCCCAACAAGGGGGCGTGTGACTTGTTGCTGCGTCAAGAAGATTAATAAGACAGGTTTAGTTTTTATTTGTTACAAGTGAAAGAATAAGGAGGTAACTGAGAGTTCGTGACTAACGCACTGCAAACATTTGACAATAGTATCTTACTTTAACAAGAACAGCGCCGTGACTAACGCACTGCAAACATTTAACAATAGTATCTTACTTTAACAAGATAAGCCCCCCCCCTAAAAAAAAAAATATAAAACTCACCTGTATCCATTGTGTGCTGGGCCCAGGCTGCCCTTATAAAGAGTTGATGGAGGAGAATTCAGTCTGTTCTGTCGCTCTAGTCTTGGTTCTTTTATCTTTTTGGGCTGTGGTTTACTGTACTCCAAGAAGTTGGACATCCCATAAACTGAGATTATTTCTGCAACCAAGGGGAGAAAAGTTGTTTAAAAAAATCTGATCAAAGAAATTTGTTTTTCGATTTAACCATAAATATGCTGTGTGTCTGTCCAATACCTGGGTCTCCATACATGGGGGGGATGTGGTGCTGGTAGTACTGGTGTGGGGGCAGCTCACCAGGGCTGACAGGGGGGTAAAAAGAATGGGAGTTGGGTATAAAGTGTGGGTGAGTCAGATAGGGAGGCAGGTGGTGTGTGGGGGACAGAGCTGGTGAGTAGGAAGGAGGGTAGCACTCTGGAGACTGGGGGGTGACCACCACCCTGCGGACCCCCGTGGTGTCCTCCAGCACCTGTGAGGGCAAAGAGAGAGAAAGGAAAGGCGGGGGTTAATGACCAAACAGGTCGGTATCTCACTGATCCACTCACACTCTCCTCACACTTGAAGACAAAACAAGGACTAAATCAGAAAAGCTGAGAGACGCAACGACAACGTCTCAAGTTAGCAACTACGAAGAACAGGTTTCAGGTGTTTTGTATGTCAAATGTCCATGAGTTAAATACGCAGCTACTACATTTTCTATAAAAAAATTAATTTAAGCTGCAAGACTTTCATGTTGGCCACACGGGGGTGCTGTCCTTAGTGCTCATGCCTTACAGCAAGAAATTCAAATGATTCAGTGGAAGAATGGATCAAATAATAATAATAATGATGATGACGATGATGATGATGATGATGATGATGATGATGATGGATGACTAGCTCTTGTTGACTACGCTGAATTGAGGCATCTATTGTCTGGTGCACTACAGCACAGAGCCCCTGCTGGACATGGAACCGTTCACCATTAACAATGTTATAAAAATCAATGACAAAATTACAATTACACTCTTACCTCAAGTACTCACTTTTCAACACACAAAACTTGTTGGATTTAAATTCAAGCTAAGACTAAACTAAGCTCATCATGCTAACCTTTTCCTGCTCCTTCACTTTATTGGAGATTGAAGCAGCATCACAGTTTAGAAACTTAAAACATCTCAGGGTCGAAGGATTTATTTAGTCATTTTGACAAAAGTAATTGTACGGTTTCAGAAATGCTTCCACTGAGTTGATGAATTCAGACACACAGCGACACAAGACAAATGAACGGCCCTCAGTCTTTAAGGTCAGGTCAGGCATGTGTGCGAGTGGAAGGAGGGGTCAAAGGTTAGGGAGTTAAAACAAATCAATAGACTGTTTTCCCAGTGTGATTTACAGTATGACACCTGGGGGCGGGGGCACAGGGGGCAGTGTCCCCCGTGTGCCCCCGTGGTGCCACTGTGCTCCGATGACAGTGGATGACAGGTCGATGGCTCACTGTGGGTGTGTGTGTGTTTGTGTGTGTGCGTGAGCCAAGTGTAAGCGGGAAACAGCGTCAGTCTTGTATAAACAGGCCTGATAACAGGGACAGGCCAGAGTGGGTTTGGCTTTTAGAGGTGGAGGAGGAACCTGGAGGGGGGCGGGGGGGGTGATGGAGGAGGAGCGGTGACTGATGTGTTTGGTTCATGTGTGTGTTTGTTTTCTGTGTTCCTGTGCGTCCTTGATGGTTTGCACTAATGCACTGTGGGCACAGGAGTGTGTACTATTGTGCAACAAGTGTCTGTATGAGTTCTAGTCCCAGCTGATAAATGTAGTGTCTGTCCTAACGCCTCCAGACAAAATACAATTACTTAAAAAAAAGTAAATTGACATGTATTACTTGAAGCCATTTTTCACAAAATACAAAAATGACCAGTAACATTTAAACTAATCTAAACATTGATTCTGCAACAAAGTCAGAATTAGGAACAGAGGAAGTACCAATTGAAGTACTAGTTGAAGTACTAGTTGAAGTACTAGTTGGTAGCAGGTTAACTAGTGACTGTGTTTGGCCTCAAACTCTTCTTCTCTTTCTCTAATATTGGGTAAAAAGAGAGGGTCCTTCGCAGGTTTTCGACTGTGGTGGAGACAAAATCAGTATCTATAGAACACAGGTGTCAACCTCAGGCCTGCGGGCCAAATCTGGCCCGTGGTGTAATTATATTTGGCCTGTGAGATCACAAAAATTAAAGTTTGTTTCCACATGAAAAAAAATGTGACATTACAAAGCTGGAGAGAAGGGAAAACATTCACATTTTCAGTCATTTTTTCAATAAGTATTGACTTTGAACTAGTTTTTAATTTTGTTAATTTGGGTTTTTTCACACCCCGCTACAGAACCTTTTTTGTGAAGCGAAGTAGAGACCGCAAATTCTCCTGGCTTCAAGTCAGATAAAGTACAACTAAATTACTACTACTGCCACCATGTGGCAGGTTTAATCATTGGAAACATGACTTGATTAGGCTCTGTTTTAGCTTGGACGTCCTGCCTGCACTCCAGATCAGCCGTCTGATAATTATGTCACATTGTAAAGAAGAAAACCAGAGCCTGGAGGATCCAGGAAAAGACGAATGAGTGCAGGTAAAAGAGAAGCAGATATGACCCAGATGTGAACTCACTCCTTCCTTCTTCTGTTTTGTTTTTTTTTTGTTTTGCTTGTTTTTTGTTTATGGAGAAATCAGTTTAGTAACAACTTGCATTACAATCTAACATTTCTGTTTCTACGTTTGGGAACCAGTGCCACCTCTGGTAAGAACGGGGTCAGCGGGTCCAGCCCACATGGACTCATGTTGGGACTTTGCCCTTGTTTTTTTTCATATCAACACAGTGTTTTTCTGCTCCGCTGCAGAGGAGGGTTTGAAGGGCAAATACTGGACCACCCCCGCCCTCTCTCCCTCCTCTTCCTCCCCCCCCTCCTCCCCCCCCACTCCNNNNCTCTTCTACGCCTTCATTCCTAATTTTTTCTCACTCTGATTAGTTTTGTAAATCTCTTCCTCCCCCCTCTCACCCTCTCCGGCACTCTCACAGTGCTTTGGCACAGAGTGTGTGTGTGTGTGTGTGTGTGTGTGGAGGTTTTGGGGTTTGTGTTATTTGGTGTGTGTGTGTGTTGTTATTGTTGTTAGGGACCAGCAGATGACTTCCCCTCTCTGCAGGGAGTGTGTGTTTGCTCTCCGCTTGGAATGCAGGCATGTGAAAGTGTCTGAATAGTTGTTGTTTTCCCTGTGTGTGTGTGTGTGTGTGTGTGTGTGTGTGTGTGTTCCTGGAGGAATTTGGAAGTGACTGAATGCTAATTTGACACAGTTCTTGTTATTGAAATCTGTAGACCATCTGATGACAACATTGCAAAACTTGTTTTCACCACTGTATGTCTCACGGCATCCTGTGAACAAACTGACGCGACTTGTTGAATGAAGTATGTGGAATGTTGGATATTAAACACTCGTCTGACAGGACGCATGTCCCCACTAAACTATAAACACTCAAGTATTCTCCAGAAGACGTTTGGAATGGTGTGAAAATATGTCCCTATTGTCTTAGTGGGTTTTTTTTTTCATTTACTTTTTAACATCAAATGTTATGACCTCGGCCACAGTGAAATTGCCCCATAGTTGATATTAGATATTTATCTTTTATACATAATCCAGCATGTCCAGTACAGAGTCCACCCCTCTCTCATTTTATTTATCTTTTTTTCATCTTCTGAATAATCTGTGATTTTAGACTTATAATAAATTGGGACTAGTTGCTAGCCACAAATTTTTTTTTATTTTTTTTTTAGAAAATCCCAGAATTGACACTTGTGCAAATGCGAGCTTTCAGTTCAGAAAGGCGTTCTACAGAATGCCATTCTGATATATTTTTCAACAAAAACACGGGTGAACTTCAATGACTTCAATAATCCTGTTGTCATCTCTAACCATAATCTAACTTTAAAAATCTATTATTATCATGACAATGTCTTGGTGCAGGGAGAGACTATTTCACCAACTTCAGCACATCTGCTCCGTGCTGTGGAGGAGGAGGAAGTATCCTTGGATACGTGTCTCATTTTCCCGAACACACAATCTGAAAAAGGTGCAGGATGAACGTCTGTCTTCATATCAGCACTGGACATTCTTGAATCACCAACACGTGACCCACTGACGTAGGTCCGTGCTTCAAGTCAGACATCGTAGTTCACAAAAGAAATTCCATTTGGTTGTGTTTCTGGTGTTTTTACGTGCGTTTAGTAAAAGTTTTTTTATTTCGTCTGGAGAGCTGCAGTTTTCTGACTGCATTTCAGGAATCTTCCAGAAGGAAGCTTCAGTTGGCTGGAAAAAAGCCACCAAGAAGACAGCAACAACTGAGAGGAGTTTCACACTGGTTTACTGTGAGAAACAAATGTCGGTTCTGACTTCACACTTCTTCACACTCCTTTTCTTCTCCAGAGAAGAACAGAAACCACTGGGTAATTAAACACAGTCGCATACTTCAGTCGCTTTGCCTCTGTCTCTGACTAGTCTTTAGCCCCAAACTCTCCCACACAGGAGAAACACATGAGGCGGAAGATGAAAAAAACGTCTGAGACGGACGTGCAAATGATGGGAGGAAAAACACACACAGGGAAGGAGACACAGACTGACCTGTGAGATGTATCCAGGGGGGACGTGAATGGGAGGGATGGAACCATTTGGGGACATCATGGGAACCTCAGCAGGACCTAGAAGAAGAGACAAACACAGGAGAGAAGGTTTATTTATTTAGAGCAGGCAGCTCCTGTGGAGGTTCATTTACATTTACAGCTGTCAATCAACACCAGAGCACATTCAGAGCTGTGGAACACGGTGAAAGACCCACTAAGAGTCACAGATGTGGAACATATGGCACCTATCTGACCATTAGTTTGACCCTGTACTATTTGTCAGTGATCATTAATGTTTACACCAAGGATAATGGAGCAGGAAATCTCAGAGAAAATAACATCTATAGGATGGCCATAAAAGGGAAAAGATTAGGAGAGGCTGTGGAGTAAGACGGAAAGAAGAAGGATGGATGACAGGAAAGAGGAGAGAAGAAAAAACATGAAAAGAGAGAATGGTAAAGACGAGTCAGGAGAAGGTTTTGATGAATAGGCAGGAGAAAAAAAAAACAAACTGAGGAAATATTTTATATATACTTTAAGCAGTCGTCTGCAAGTTAACATTCTTTCATACCATGATCTTTTTGTTCAACTTTTAGCCATTTCTGTTAAACCTTTAGTCAATTTCTTCTATATCGTCCTAGCTTCAGATTGATACATTTCTACTGATTCTCCATTTTAGGTTTTTTTTTTCCCGTGACACCATCGCCTACCTCAATTGTTTTCACTGACATGTCTGCTCTTTTCCTGCTAACCTTTAGCTAACAATGGAAACTTCTGTTAGCCACCGCTTTCTTTTTGTTGGATACGTTTGATGGAGTTGAAATGTCAGATTTGGGTCCAAAGGGATTCACACTAGTAGTAGAAAAATTACAAAACTTATATAATAGACTGTAGTTTTATTTTTATTATTGTCATTTATTGTGTGTATTTGTATTGTAAAGTATTGTTTACTTTTTTACTAACGCGATAATGAGGAGAAGAAAAACTAAAAAAAACTTATAGATAACGCGATAATGAGAAGAAAAACTAAAAAAAACTTATAGTATAACAATAAATTAGAAAATAACTTCCAGCAATAAACTAAAAAATCTTTTGTCTCGTGAGTCACAACAAAGACCTATCACCTTAGTAATATGCTGTCCCACCATATACAGTATATATATGCATGTATACTGCACACTGCAGTAAGTCCAACATCTTGGGAATGCACTAGAAAAACTACTGTAGGAGTTAAAACCTTAAACTGCTTAAATTACATAACTTTTTTCTGCCTAAAAACCACTTCAGCCATCTTTTTTTTTTTTAGTCTCCAATTATAAAACTAAATGTCAACCAAATCTTTTCATCTTCTCTCTTCTAGTGTCTGGCAGACAGACTGAAGAGACACAAGGGCAAAGAAAAGAGGACAAGAAAGCGTCTCTGCTGTGAAGTGAGAGCAAGACAAATCTAATAGAATTAGCAGACAGATAATGATGTTGACTTTTCCACTCTCCATATCTCCTCCTCCACCAACACCACCGCCACATCTCCTTCTCTTTTTTCTCTCTTCCTCCGTCTCCGGGATGGAGGTCTGTGGCTGTTAAAGTCATTGGAACCCCATTGGGAGGTAGCAGAGCTGGCCTCAGAATAAATCTCACACACACACACACACACACACACACACACACACACACACACAGAGGCCCTAGCTACCTACGAAAACACATGCAGCCATGAAGGAGCACTTATATTTTCTGTGCGTAGACAGACTAATTTGACTACGTGTTTGAAACCAGTTAAGAATCCCCGGGTTATACAACAACAAACGACAACAAACGACACACCTACACCCCCGGTGTAGGTGTTATTTAGTGTTATTTCTACAACAACAAACGACATGCTACGGGGGTGTAGGTGTTATTTAGTGTTATTTCTTTAGCTAATATCAGACTTAAAGCATAAAAAGTCAGTGGAAATGTAACAACTCTCGTCCTAGAGGAAGCTAAATGCTAGCTCATAGCTAGACAAAGTGTAGCGAAAGTGATCAAAACAGGCTAACAAGTGAAAATATCCTAGAGGAAGCTAATTGCTAGACAAAGTGTAGCGAAAGCGATCAAAACAGGCTAACAAGTGAAAATAAATTACAAATAATTAATAGTTAACCAATAATCAGGAACATCTACAAATTAGCCACAGATAAACAACAACCAAATATTTACTTGAAGTGTGAAGAAATAGCCACATGTTTATTACAGACTGAGAGGCGTTCTGTCCTCAAACCTAGACCAGTAACTGTAAAAATAATCAAAATATAACTATCAAGGGGCTAATTAGTTTAATGCAACTAATTAACTCTAAAATTGGCTACATAGTTATGCAAAAGTTAAGAAATCTTTAGCTTTATTCTTATTATGTTAGCTAATGCTTCCATAGCATAGCGGTTAGCACACCTGGGAGCGCAGGGAGTCCTGGGTGTGATTGTTAATCCTCCTCCTGTTAGTTGCTTTGGATAAAAGCGTCTTCTAAATACATATATTTATATTTTATATATTTATTTATTATAAATAAATGTAAATGTAATGTAATGCTGGCCACGTAAGCACTGATGGCTAAAGTCAGCCGACCAATACCATGTGAGAGCTTTAGCTTCCCTCCTCTACACCTTCATCTTTTGGCTCTTTTTAATAATTTCTTGCCTTCAATTTTTTGCGGTGTCTCGTCCTCCCTCAGTAACCTCCCTCACCCCCCACACCCCCTCCCTTTCTGATTACTCACAACCTTCAATTCCAGCATTCATTTCAATTAGTCACTTCATCCTTTCCTTCACTTCCTTCACACCTCCACTACACTCCCTCAGTCACAGCCTTCCAGAATCACCCCCTCTATCCTTTCATCCAACTTTCCTGCCCTCTCCCCAGACAAACAAACAGGTCTGGGTACAGTAAATACACACAACTGTGCACACATCAACACCACCAGGGCAAAGTCTCCACTGTGGGCTTGTCTGTGTCTGTGTGTGTGAACTTGCTCACAGGTAGGGAGAGACAGATGTCTTTTTAGTCCTGTCTGCTCTGCTACCATGGCAACCAGGAGGCCTATGAAAGTCCTCATTGAGTAGAAGGTCACGGGATGGACACACGTACACACACACTTTAACCTGATTTGCTTAAAACGACCTTATACAAACATTAGCTTGTGACTAAATCCAACCCCTTTCAGCTAAATGACATATTCCTAAATTAGCAGCTGCTTTAGCACTTTACTTTAAATTTTATGGTTTTTTTTATCTTAAACCAGATTGAAAACAGCCACATACAATTAACTAATTATATAATTGGTGTCTTTAAAAAGATATTTATGAAACTGTTTCGTTAAGAAATTGGTTAAATTAGCCAAGAAGATAGAAAATGATAAGGCTAATTCACTGACTTTGCATTAGCCTTGGCTAACCTGTTTTTAGCGCCATATTTAACGATGTATTATAAGTATTATAAGTAAAGTATTTTACCTTGAGAATACTTTGTTGACATTAGTCCCACATTAGACTTAAGGGTCCTTGCCAACCAGGTAGTAGTACTCTATCTTAAGTATTATAAGTAAAGTATTTTACCATGAGAATACTTTGTTGACATTAGTTCCACATTAGACTTAAGGGTCTTTGCCAACCAGGTAGTAGTACTCTATCTAGTACTGCATGGAACAGTATGCGGTACCAACAAGTTTTGTTTTTCATTCTATACTTTTCCGTAGTTTGATTAGTAACCTCCAAAGCCCTGACATGTAAACCTCATGTGTTAACCTCCTGCAGTGTGTTTGGAC